CCTTCTTTCGTTTCATTCTTTGCTCTCCGCCGTTTAATTTACCGTTTACACCTTTTCTCTCGTGTATCGTTTTCTTTTACATCGTTGTTTCGTCCGTAACAACTGTGTAACGTTACACGCGAGAGTTTGCAATTTGCATGAACTTCCCCTATGAATTCCAATTTGCATAAAGTCCTCCGATGAATTCATTCTAATCTCGAGCCACGATGTTTTCTTGCGGTCAATTTAACGAACCTCTGAAAAGTAACTCGCGGCATCGAGTCGAAATACAGTCGGTCCCATAAGTATTCGTACCCGCTGTGTCTATCAAAGAAATCTGTCTAAATAGGTTCGATGTTTCCAAATAAATTTTTCATTATAAATATATGCACGTATAAAGTTTATTTGGAAACATCAAACCTATTTAGACAGATTTCTTTGATAGACATAGCGGGTACGAATACTTATGGGACTGACTGTATATAAATTAACGATTCCAGCACCTGCTTGGATTGATTCGCAGTTTCCTTTCTCATATCGACACGGTTAGCCAGAGCTATCGATTAAAAAGACACGAGAATAAAAAGCGTCCCCTGAAAAATAAACGGCCTTATTATATCGGGGGTGGAGTATCGTAAACAACGTTTTAAAATGAAACAAAAACGTCTAGAACGGCAGACGCAGGGTTCAAGGGACTCCGCTTTGACCGTTCCTGCGTAAACTGCATGCAAGAAGCTCAACCACGTGGAAGCCGTTCCAGAAGCTCGATCGTGCCCGTCGTATCTAGAAAAATCAAAGAAGAAGACCGCTTCGAGAGGCTGTCCTCTCGGCGGACTCTTCTAGAGCGACGACTTAATTAAAATATTCCGCATTGATGAAAAGTTCGGATCGGAAGTAGTCAGAATTTCGCGAAACTTTTGACTTTCGTTGATCTCGGCCAAGTTGAAATTGGCTGGGCGAAAAGCGGTGGGGTTGCTCGTCGAATAACTTTGCTTTGTCATTTCGTACGAGATGAACGCGTAATTACGCTGCTTAAGACTAGCGGAGAGTCGAGCTGGGTCCTCGTGAATCATCGATGCGGTCGAGAAATCTAAATACTTCAAAATTCTGGGAAGTTTTGTGTGGTCACTTGCGATTAAAATTGTAGGAGCCTTAGGTGACCGCTTCATTTTTGTGTTTTCCTCGCTGAAGCAATCGTGTATAATAGTCGAAATAGAAATTTACTTCAATTTTGACAAGGGTCTCGTTTATTGTCCTCGAGGTATCGAGAAAACGAATATTGTAAACGAGCGTTCATCGAAAACATATAGAACGAAGCTGTTCAACGTTTATTTCCAATAGTTGGTGATATCTAAGCTTATTCCTCGCGTTAAAGTCCGCTGGTTGTCGTTTCGTTTACTTTTGACCTGCTCCGCGATTCGCTATTATCGACGCAATTACGCGCCACGGTTGGTTTCATTTAATGGGTAGTTAACGAAGAGGATGTATTTGAAATAATAGTATCATTGCATACGTAGACGGAGCGTTAGCTGAATATTAACGACCGCAGTAAGCCGCGCTGAAGAAGCTTATAAGCAAGCGGGTAGGAGGGTCCCAGGCGGGGAAGATTTGCGAATAGTCCGCGATGCTGTTCGAAAGGAAGCCGGTCCCCCAAAGGTTTAAGTGCTTTAAAATGTGCTAAATTATACACGACCTGCGAAAGAATTACGGGCTCGACGAGAATCTGGTATATACATAGTTCGACCGTGGCGCCCGTTTACGATGGGCTAATTATTTTCTGATTTATTTAAACAGAAGCGTGCATTATTCATCGGACCCCAGGCTATCTTAATGACGATGAAGTAGCGAAGAAGATTTTGCATCGAATGTTCGTTTCGGATGAGGGTTACTCTTCTATTAAAAGTCAGCGAAGAAAGCAAATTTTTAAATAAACGGGGGTTTTTATTACTGTTCAACGTTTTAAAAATAGAATTTATTACGAGATATTATTGGTAGGTCTTTAAAGTCCACGGTCTCGAGAATCTTGAGAATTTCTCATTGTGAAATTTCTATTTTAGGTAGTACACTAATAATATTCCTTCCATTTGTAAAATATGGTACAAAAATAACAACGTATAATTCTATCCTGGAAGACAGGTGAAAAATTGCCCTCTATCGAATATATTTATCAAAAATCTAATTTTAATTATATATATAGTACCATAGTTCGACTTTAAAGCGTCCTGCTAAAAGTGTATATTTAACTACAATACGCATAAGTGGTGGACAGAAAAACGAAGCACCCGATGGCACGGTTCAATTCTACCGGAACATGTATTACACTCGTGACCTGATTAATTCCGATAAGGAAATCCAAATTACACTTGGCAATCGCTGCTGGGACGAGTTACTTAGTCGAGCCTATTAAATCTCCCGATAAAACATGGGCTTAGGTGGGCCCGCCCCTAAATCCCGTTTTTGGCGTCGCGCACCCCGGACAGATTCCGTCCTTTCATCTTGAACGGGGAGCTTCTTCGGGTTATAAAGTTAAGCGTGGCGTTCCGCGTGGATAAACAGCGCCGCTATCAGTTAACAAAGCGAAACGGGCACAATTAAATCGTATTTACATGGGCAGATACGTTGGTCGCGCTGCTGCGTCGTTGCTCTCGAAGTGTTATCGATTTTTCGCCCGATCGAAATTGCGTTCTACCCGGCGAAAAACAAAACGTTTCGCGACGCGGACAGGGATGTAATTCGAACGCGATATTCATTTTTTTTTTTTTTAGCGTCAAACGAGCCGTTCGTTTGATCAGTTTCGAAATCGATAAGGAGGAAAAACGGGCGAGCGATACTAATTCGGGGAAAATATTAAACCTGCGATGGGAGGGTTGGAAAATATGAGTTATTTAGGTTTGGGGTAATTATTAATGGACATCAGGGTATGGTTGTTCGTCGTGTTTTAATTATATTGGCATTTCGTGCCTTTTCGTGTCCTCAAAGGGTGAAGTTCATTACAGATTAAGGAGCCAGGAGTCAGGATTTCTTGCGTCGGATAAAATGATACAATCGCAGTTATTCTTTAACTATATATTATAGAGTTAGGTTTCGAAGACGTGTATTCGACGAAAGATGATTTCCTCTACGATAGAATTCCGTTATTATTTCTATAGTATATTCCACAATAACAATATTAGAAATCAATTTAATCGAGAAGTGCTGCTTTTTAAAACAAATATGTCTCGAACTATATCGTCGTTCCTTTCAGCACCGGTGCAATTAAATCTCCTAGGTACGACAGTATCGATAATATTTAATACTCCCACGCTCGAACGACGATATCTGTTCCTCTCCCCTGAAAAAAAAAGAAAAACTAAAAATTCATCCCTTGGTTTTCCTGGAACAAAAATGGTCGAATTCTGTGGACCAGCTCGACACCGTGAAGTCTGTCATCGCTCGATTCGACCGGGTCAGCTTTGACCGTGTCGTTTTTGGTGAATGCTGCACCGCCGCGCGCACATGGTAATAGGAGGACGATTTTTCGTCGCTGAGCATGTGGTCGCAGCGTGTGTCCGCCGCTGGAGGTCGGAGCGTTTCGCTTTGCCTCGTTCCTCCCGCAAAGCTGCAACATCTGCTGGCCTGCTCGCGAAGACGGCACTTTTATCTCATCTCGATGTCCCCCCGAAGAGGAGACGGTTCGCCTTTTTCCGACTCGACGCGGGTCCATTCGTGGACGTTGCGTCAGATGGGGGACGCGTAACCGTCTCGCGGATGGGGGTCCAATCGTAAAACCGAACTAGCTCTTGGAGATTCTCATCTTCCTACGGGGTCATATTGATTAGCAATTTCGGAGAAATTTTGGGGAGCCGGTGGAGTTGAAATTCTTCGAGGACTGGCGTAGCTTCTATTGGAACTTCGAGGGAGTACTTAGCTTGGACAGGGATCAATTGGGGGAGATGGGTGCAACGTTGGAATTTCGTGAAATGGAAATCAACCGAGGGTTTGGCTTGTTGCAAGTTTCTTGTACCACCTTGTTTAATATACTGCTACATAACGTGGACTAGAGTGCTTATTTCGCAGACCTTTTACTTCTATTTTCATTTAAAGCGTCGTTTCACGTAGACTGCGATTGGATACAATTTTTAAAAGTTGAAATTTAAATTAACGAGTGTCGTTGCAACCCTGAGGTAATTGTCCACTTTTTATGTAATAGGTGATACTGGACAGTCCCAGTGGATAGAATCGAAAGAATAAATGAAACGATCGATCTATACGAGCATAGCCTGAACTCGAAGATATAAAGATATCGATAATCCGTCGATATGCACCACCGGAATGTTCAGTAATTGTTCAGGATAGCAACGGTTATCAGTAGAAATGATTAAAACGTAACTCCTTGTTACTCTAGAAAAATTAAAGCAAAGCGAACGTATCGCGATATGCACGGGGTAATTTCGCAACGTCGTAAAGGCAAAGTAGCAGAGGCGAAAGCCGTTTTTAAACCCGTCCCTCAAAGTTATCGAGCTTCGTCGAAGCGAACGAAAATATAAAAGAAAAGAAATCTGGGATGAAACAACGGGGAAAAGTTAAACGAGATACCGATGAATAAAAGATCCGACGGTGCGTTAAAATGCACAGTATTTCCGAAGGAAGGGAATTGTAATAGTCGAAGGATACATGTATATAGGGAATCGATCCTCGGAGTTTATGACAAGGAGCGCAAAGACAACATACATATTCGATCAGCTCAAATCGCGCGTTTAAATTAACTAAAGCGACGAGTCGCGTTGAAAATTTATGCGAAATCGTGAAAACTGTAAAACTTAACTTCGCGGAAGTTTCCAAACGGCGTGGTTTGAATCGAAGTGGCTCTGAAGTAGCTCCTGCTCTGAAAGTCCCGTGTCCCGTGGGGAGGGGGGGGGGGTGAAGTGGGGTGGGGGGAACAATTTCAACCGTTCGTTTTGCATGAAACCACTCGTGAAATAACGCGTTTATAATAATTTGCAGAGATGTTTTATTAATCGTATATTTTTGGTTCGTTTCAGGTGAGTCATAAACGCCACGCTGTCGAGACTTCGATTTTATGAGGTTGTTGCACGAGTACTCGAAATCGTTTTCACCGTTGGTATTTGGACGAAAGGTAAACAATTTCATCCTTTTCGTACTTGTCGTCGTGATTTTTGTACGGTACGGTATTTACCGAAGCGATCGGTCATTCATCGTTCTCTTAAGAAGTTTTGCGATTCGCATTTATATGCAAAAAAAAAAAAAGAAACGACGAAAACACTGGATATAAAACGAGAGCGTTAAAATTAAATTCGGCAATAAGAGAATCTTGTTACTTTCGTTATCACGTATCCGAACGCCTAGCGTTTTGCCTAACAAGGAAGTTACATAAAAAGTAAGGGGATTCAGACCCGGGAAACTTTGTCTCCGGCATTTTCGCAATCTTCGGGAACAGTATCGCGGCCTGGAATTTTGCAATTCAGTGCGCCGAAAGACGTTGCACATTAGTCCGTGATACCGCGAATACGCAATTTGCATATCACAATATGCAAACCAAATTCGCGGCATATTCGAAGAGAACGATACCGCGGTTCCTAGGCTCTCGAGCAGGCGTGGATCCGTGGTGAAACTAACGGATCTTCCGCATTTGCCGCCGAGAACTCCTTGTTTGTTGATCTCTCAACCCTTTGCACTCGAGAGGTGACTCCCAGTCATCGCTAGATTTTCTTTAGATTCCTTAGATTTTAAAGTTCTTTGGAATCCAAAGTGCCGATAAAATGATTGTCGTTGAGGCAAACGTGACCTGACTCTCAGATTAGAGATCTCATTTTCGAAGTCAATGTAATCATTCGTGGCAATAGGATGCTAAGAAAGCGTCTCGAGTTGCTGGTAGATACCAGAAAAAAAGGCCTCGAGTGCAAAGGGTTAATTTAACCACTAGTCCGAAGCATGAAAGAATTTCTGTTTCAAGAACAGCACCGGCCATGCATAATCGTTGCCATTAATGCGTCGATTGCTAGTCGACGTAAGACGCGTATCTAAAGTTGATTTATGCCCTAATATTCGATAACGCGTCGAATTATACGAGGAGCGTTCGATTCGCGGGATCGGTGACATTCAGATAGAGCCATCGATAAGATTGAAAAGGAGGACGTTAACGCGAAACGAACAGGATGGGGGATCGTTGGCTAGGAGAACCGCTCTACCGTGAGCTGTCAATCACTTTAAAGAGATATCAGTCATGCGTACGGACGAAGATTCGCTCAGACGTCATCGGGGTCAATTGCGAGCGAGTTCAACGAGTAGAATCGAATCAGCACGATCCAATATGAGGGTCCGTTCAATCTTCGTGCCCGCGGTCATTCCCCAATGGGAAGGATGTTAATTTCTCATGTTCTTTCTACATCGTCCGCGATACTTTCCATCTTCCATTCCTCGGGTTATCGATCTCGAGTTGACGTTATTGTTTCTCGTCGCATAGAACTTGTTTCGTTAGCTCTGTTCCCATATGATATATTAGTTTGAAAGAAAAAAAAAAAAAAATACCGATTCGTGGGTAACGGAGCACTTGTTTATACAAAAGCGGATACAAGTTGGTCCAGAGAGCTGGATCATAGCGGGAGTCATCGTCATTGTTATCCCAGGCCCCATAATAAAACGAGGGACTCGAAGCGAGGCAATTCTTCCGAATAAATTTCGGCTGCTCGACGTAGACTTGGAAAAATACACCGGGGCTTGCGGGAGAAAGAAAAACCTCGCCGACAAATCTTCCACTTCCGCGGCTTTTACTTCGAAAGAAGCCATCGCGACATTACCTACCGAACCTTCAGCCGTTCCCTTCTGAGTCGTATGTAAATGCTGCCAGGCTAAAACTGGAACAGCGATACCAATTCAGCAAAGTTTCCTCGTCCCTCCGTTGAATTCGAGATTGACTGTGTTGTCTCGATGAAGAAATAGGAAGTCGTCGCGATACCGACGGACGTTCCTTATCAAACATTATTAACGACTATTCCTATTTAAACGAAAGTTACAAATGTACGAATATGAAAGCACGGAGTTGACCTTTACGCCTGATACATTTCAATATTCTTCTAAAATCGAGGAAGTCTGTGATCGATGGGTCGAGAGAGGGGCTGATCAATTGATGGAGGCAAACACAACTGGTACGAATTCGTGTCAAAGGTTAGGAGCCCGCGTTAACTACACGTAGCGGTGTTCTATCGGCGTGTTACGGTGACTCATCAAACTCCACGAAGTTCTCTTCGGGGTTCCGTCCACTGGCACGAAGTTAAATGGCGAATGACACAGGGCAACGGGACAATCGGGGTTAACTTCTCGTGTCAATTGCCACTCGGATTTGTCGCGAGCTCTCTCCGAATTTCTCTTGGAAAGTTGATCACGTTACACGCCGCTGGCTCTCTTCTTGCCCCGACGATGCTCGCACGTATTACACTTGGAACTTCTCCTCGAATATTCTTATATCTGAATATTTCAACGCTTCGACGAGTATGATTTAGTATACGTAATTCAATCACGAATTGGCACCAGCCGTACTCCGCGAATCATCAATTTATTTTGAAGCGTAATTTTATGCGCAAGTTCAAAGCCATTAGCTCGTTATTACTCGCGACGAAGGATTCGTTCGTACGATCTATCGTCGCGAATAATACTGATTACCAGGTCTCGTCACGTGGTTGGTTTCAGAAGGAATCAAAGTTCAAATAAAGAAACAAACACAGAAACACAATATTCAAAGAAAACGAGAACTAATGTGTAAAGTTAAATGTAATTACAGTAGCAAGCGCGAAATATAATTATTCGCTGTGATTAACTCCACCTCAACGTAAAAGTGAAAGAATACAATCGAACGAGATATTAATTGCACCGATAGGGAAAAAATAAGTAACGATGACCTAATCGACTCCTAAATTGCTTTAATATTCTTCGAACAAAACCGTTTGACATTCGTAGCTGGAATCGGAGCTGGTTGTGTCAAGTATCGCTTGAAATGGTAACGACGGAGTTAATGGCTGTCTGTGGACCAGGAGTATAGATGGAAAGCGATGATCTCGTTTATGCTAGCATAACGTGCATATATCGTCTGTCAGGAGATCGTATAACTGCACGTTATGCGGCGCGTAATTAGATGATCCCTCGATTTATCAGCGCGGCACTCGGCCTAGTTATCTGGCATTAAGCTAGTTAAACCGGAGGAAACTAGGTGAAAACTTGAGATATTGCGTATCTCGACAATTATAATCGAGAGATTTAGCCGAATGATTCTGGGAGGGATGCGATGCATTTTCTTGCATACGTACCGAAGTTAGGGCTCGAGACGAGGATCTCCTTGGTCGGGTATCGAGTACTCCGTATTATTGATCGAAATTCTCTGTTGCTGTCGTATGCAACTTCACCAGCTCCAGGCTGTCCCGAAAAACGATAGTAAAATATCAGAGTTTTATTAATCATTGCAAACAAAGTACAGAGTCACCTGCCACGATACAGTTTCGCGTTATTTGTCGTGGATCATCCGCATACATTTTTCGTTATACAGGGAAAACAATGTTTCTCGTCGGAATTTTTTCAGACAGAAATCGTTGAAAAACGAGGAAGCAGTTATCACGTTTGTTTGCAACCACGTCGGTGTTCGCAACACTGCCAAACGTGAGAACATAAAGCTTTCAAAAATTTTATTTCGCCCACTCCTCCGTCACAGTGCAACGTCGATTACCTAGAATAAATATCGTTTCGTTCAAAGAACTATTGTCTTTCATTAGCGAGGTATCGCGAAGAGGACTGCAATTTTATCGAACTTTCGATATTTGCATCGATTAACAATTTCTACGCGGAGTTCAAAGCATGCACGTTGATATAAAACTGAAAACGTCTGCGATTTGTCAGAAGTATCGCGATCGAAGAATATGCGAGTTTGGCCAACTAGTTTCTGTTCTCGCCGTCGCTCGAGGCAGAGAATAATTAAAGTTGCGATGTTCGTCTATTATATCGACGGAATAAAGGCGACGCGCTAGACAGGGAGGAGAGAATAGTCGAGCGGAGAACGCAGAAACGCGACAGCCAGGTGGAAAGATAAATTTCCACCCGTAAATTTGCTGGCGACAAAGGTGTGTCGACGAAGCAGACCGTCCAAAATCCGCGCGCCGCAAAAACACGGCCTTTTGTGCGAACAAAACGCGAGAGAGATCGTTTCGACGTTCGCTCCGCGTCTCTCCGCGCTGTCCATTGAAAGTGTGGCGCACAACTCATCGGTGTTTGTCTGACTTTACGAAAAATGTCTGTTCGATTCCCTTAAAAATTGCGTCCAAGTATTAATCCCGCCTGCATTACTGATCCTACTTCGATCCATCGTACGATATTTTTCCAACGAAGGTGTGGAAATGCTTATCGAAATAAATATCGCCTCTGATACACAATATTTACAACAGTACTTATCAGTTTACAATGTTCACATTTTTAAATGCATAGTTAGATGCCATTCATTGGCTGGCGTTCGCTTACGTATCTCGTTAACCTGATTTCGAAGTTTTCCCCCATTTTTCAAGTCCTTAGATCAAAGTTCGTAATGACTGAAATTGCGTATAAACAGTCATAATTAAATTTCTCAATGATATAACGCGGCAGCGGCGTTACAAGGCTGATAGATGGCTCCCTAAAGGAATTCAAAGTTATGCTCCCCTTTCGAGGACAAAGTAACCTAAACGGAACGAGGAGGTTCGACAAAAATTTCTCGGATGATGATCAAACGCGTTCCTTTATTTTAATTGCGTGTGTATAGATGTAACCGTAAAAATAGTTTCGTATACTGTGATTGTATGGTTTGAAGAAATAAAGAAATTCATGTAGAATATATACAACATAGGTAAACGAATGGGTATGCAATAAAATGTATATCAAATAAATAAATTCAGTATATATGAAATTTTATATGAAATTATTTTTTTCTTCACACAATTTACGATAGTCTTTTTTTTTATATATGCACCACTTCCATAACGAACATTTTACGCACATCTCATCTCTTTCGCAACGGATGTTACAAGGCTGTTAGCGAAGAAATAGCGCCCCGTCGACGATGAAAGTTCCTCTCGAGCAAAACGGACACCGTTCTGGAGCATCTCGGAAGTTCCTTTTCGCAAAGGCGGAACTCAGGCCGCCATAAAACGAGGAACGCTGTCAACAATACTGTCTCATCGATGGTAAATCGTCGCCGTTAAAACATCCAGCCACCGCAACGATAATGAAAGGTGACGGTTTGACGAGGGCGGAAGGAAGAAAACAAGAGGAAAATCGACGAGGAGGAGATAGGTAGAGGGCGAAGAGGAAGAGGAGCACGAGCTGAAAGTAAGGCCGTATGCGCGCCCCGTTTTCCTTCTCCTTTTTTAAAAGCGAGCCGACCTTTAAGCGACTTTATGAAAATCCGATAATAACGGCGCTCCGGGGGTCGGCTGGATTTATTTTGTCTCCGTCGTCGTCGTCGCGCCACGAGCACCCCGCTCGACATGGCGCGGCTGGCTTTCGGCAATACTTTCCCCGATCGATCGTTGCTGAAAAGTTACACGTTCGAGGGGCACGCGTTAAGGATCTGCTCGTCGGGCTGTAAACAACCGGGCAATTCCTAAGTGGCGTCGCGATGATGCTTCCGTCACGTTTGAACGGCACATAGAATTACGAAAAGACTCTTCCGACACGTACGATGGCCGCTCCGAATCGGCAATGGCGATCGGCCAGATATACCATCCGGTATCCCTTGGAATTTCCTTGGAATTCCAAATTCTTTGGTCGTTTCGTCGACTAACGGCTGGAATCACGCTCGTTCTCGCATTCGAGCGACACTTTTTACGTTAGATTTAAGTCGACAGGCATAGGAATTTTATATTTGTTATTCGTGCCTTTGTGAAAATATTGTCGACGAATTGGCGAGACCAAACACGACCTTATTGGGACTACGTAAACTCTCAACTAGTGTATCGCGAAGAGAAAGAAAGAATACTTCCAACTTTGACGTCCTTTTCCTCGTGCATCTGTTATTCATGAAAATATCGTTGACGAATTGGCAAAGGTTTCCCAGTGAAAACGAGTCCAAGCACCGTCTTATTCCCCTCTTACAACTCTTAACATATCGTAGGGAGAAAGAATGAATTGTTCCAACTTTGATGTCTATTTCAGTCCTCGTGTCGTCGTGTACAATTTCGAAGGAACACCAGCTCCATATTTTTCGAGCGTAGATATATTCTTGTTTCAGAATTTGTAAGTTAAGGAACGTCTTCCGGTTTTCGATTGAAATTTCGGAGATTTCCAGAAGGGTTGGGTCGGTATTTGTAGGAACAGGTGACGCAGTCTTTGCGGGTAAGAAGTCACGCGTAAATTGGGGTGGGCATACCGTGTCCACAGTCTCGGTCTCGACCGTCATCCTGGCCAATGGCAACCGTCGATGTGCGTATTTGTAATTAATTATCGGGCCAATTTGTCCCGGGTACGTTAGGTGTCTGGAGGGTCAGAGGGAGCGAAATTGATTGTGATAACGTGCGGCTAGGGTCTAATAATTGTCATGAGCAGGAGCTGTAAGGTTACAGCGTGTAGAACAGATTTATGACGGGTTGAGGGGGTGGTCGGGGATGTCGAGCGAGGGGACACGTATTTTCACTTTTAATACGGTAATTACAGTTGGGCTTAACACAATTTACTTTTGCTTTAAACAGCAATCGAGGTCGCGTTTGTTATTCTAAACAATGAAAAATGTTTTGTGCAGTGTTTCCCACGTCCTCGTCGGGTTGTAAATATATTTGCAGTTCGCGTATTTTTATTTAACATTTCGTACATTATAAAATAATTTTTAGTCAAAACTTTGACCACCATTAATATCACACGTTTATAGAATAACCATAATGTTTGATAAGTCTCTATATGCC